ACGCTCCCAAAATGTGTGGCATGTCAAGAAATCAAAGTGTATAGCTACATAAACCATTTCATGATTGTCAAGTAAGCACTGAAAGCTTTTATTCAAATAAGAGGAGCTGCAAAAAAATCTTAACACTCCACCATGCAAAAGAGTATGCGTCAAAAAACTCACAAGGCTCTCAAGAAGGTAAATATCATAATCACCCATGGATCTACTTCCACGTAATAACATCCAGAACCTCTGCTCCACCGGATCCCACAGCTATGGTAGTCTCAATGATGTTGGCTGACATTAGAGAATCAAGCGATCGTAACCACGAATATCACTTGTGGCCTAGCCATATATAACAACCCATGGCCTTGCCACTTATATCACAGACTATGGCCCCAATCATTTCTAACAGCCCATCGGTAACCCAAAGGTTCTTTAACTAAAGCTTACTTGTGTACAAGGGTTACACTTAATCGAAGTGACAGCCAACCTACTCTCGATGCTCTCGATTGTCAACACTATTTTTAAAACCAAATCGGGTTTTCCAAGGCTTTTCCTTTTAATCATTTGAAATCAAGGTTCAATAACCCTTTGAAGTTACTTTTCAAGTTAAATGGCAAGGTGTAATCACTTGTACAAGGATCGGAATAAAACCGAAGCTCAAAACTTTGCATTTTAAATTATGTAACAAATGCATTTAGCTATGCATATCACACAAAAATATAAGACACAGATTTTGATGTAAACATCGTGAAAGGCTTGTTTCTCTATTTCTAAAACTCTTTACATATATGGCTTATCTATAGATATATCCAAAACTACTTTCAAAATAATTTGCATCCACAAACTTCTTGTGGTTTCTACCAGCTCATGCTTTCCACAATAACAATATATACATCATTGTAAATTCATTTTAAAATTGCATTTCGAGGCTAACAGCTCATGCTATCCACACTGCACTTAAGAAAACCATCAATGTTTACTAACATGAATCAATATATATAGTATAGATATTTTAAAATAGGCACCCTCTACTCACCTTCTAATAGTAGGACACTACATTGTTATTAATTCGGGTCCATATCTAGCTAATTCTACTCATCGGTTACCCGTTACTTTCTCCGGCATGCCACCACAGCATACTTCTTTTACTTTTACACTTCCTAACAATCATACAAACTCATCACACTTAATTATTCACATGCATGTAGCACATCAATCAATAAATCCGTAGCCTAATTTCATAGTTTTCATCAACCTTACTCACAATCATTTAACACACAATCCACATACTATCAACTAAATAAAGCCAACACAACACCATGTCGTCACATTGCATGCTTACCTTTTGGTTTTAGCTTGAGCTCCACGTATAATCCACCATTCCTTACATTCTCAGTCACCATTGCTGCCACAAGCATAAATAATTAGCACACATCTCATTTCTCTTGTCTATTTGTGATTTCAAAACTAAAGTACTCACCCATCGCTTATCTAACTCCAAAATCAACATGCATTCCAATTTAACCCACATGCATGCACCTATTTCTTTCAAATCTTGGAGGATCTTTGCTACCATAAACATTCTCACACAATTACCAACTCATTTCCTTAAGAAATCATAACCAAAATCAAGGTTCTACTTATCTTCCTTAGCTTGGAATCACTAGGCCGAACCTCTCATGCCTTCCTAAAGCTCCAACCATGGCATGCAAGAGAAAACTTTGCGGTTTTTCTCCCAACCTCCACAAAACCAAGCCTCCTCCAAGCCTTTTTCACTCAACTCTTTCTCTCATCTCAGGTGGAAGTCTCACAAGGCTATTTTCCTTCTATCTCTCTTCCAAATGGGCAAATCTCTCATGAAACTCACTTGTTATCTTCACACTTTTCTTCTAAAAACTAAGCATTTCCTTGCATGTTGCTTTTCTTCTCTTTTATCTCTTCCTCTCAGGTGGTGGACAAAACAAGGGTAAAATGAGCCTTTATCCCATTTCTCTTTGTTATGGGCGGATTGCCCAAGGAAATGGTAACAATTCCTTTCATTTCTTCTCACATGGGGCGGATTGCCCAAAGTTTGATCATTTTATCACTTTCCTTTTACTTTCATGTGGTTAAAATCACAAGGTAAAAAGGCTTTTGAAACCTTTTCACCTGCCACTATCATTGTTCATTCTTTTTCCACTATTTTCTTTTCTTTTCTCTTTACAAGTCATGCCAATCAATTCTTCTCTTTGTTATTATCACCACCTCCCATTGGAGGCTTGTTCATGCTATGTTTCCTTATCCATTCCTTTATCCTTTGGTTAGATTGCCATGTCCATGAATTGGTCCACATGGCATTCTCTTTTGATTTATTTCATTTGCATTTCATTCCACGTGTATTTTACTGCATTTCATTTTCATTTCCTTTTAATGCCACTTTATTCCTCCAATCACACTCCATGTACGAGCTTCACTTTACATTTTATTTGGCCACTTATCCAACCAATCAAGTCTCATGCAACCCACATTTCACTTTCCTTATTTGACCACCAAATGCACCAATCACATTACATGCAAATAATCTTTAACTTTATCCTTCCTTTTTTTCTTCACATGGTGAGAGTCCCACATGTTCCCTACTAAATTTTCCTTTTCGCATACCATAGTTTGCATGTAATAGTAACTTTCACATGT